AAGTGATCAGAAAATCACCATAAGGCACTTAAAAAGGAAACTAATAAATCGAGGAAACAAGGACGGATTCCCCCCCCCCAACCACCAAAAAAAAAAAAAAACCACCCTAAAATGAGTATTAATGAGAGAGGCCAAAGGCCCTGCACATCCACAACCGGGTTGTCCATCGGCTGGCCGGTAAACGACTTTGTCACCGGTCGGGTCAGTATTTTTGGACTGTCCCTTTGATTGCATCAACACTGCAGGAGTCCTTTTTCAGGGTTACTTGGTGGCGAGCAATGCAAAGCCATTTTAGATAGCGCAAATAAACCTAGTCACAATTATAACCAAAAGCTCCCACTTTGAGGGGATGCTGGTTGAAACTGACGATATTCTACATTTTTTGCAAAGAAAGTCAAGCCATGATGTTGAAACAAATGCACAGGATAGGTCAGAACAGAAAAATAAACTGAGCCCTATGTGATGTATAACAGCATAACATGATGATGATGATAATGCAATACATAAATAGATGGTTATTTTCTCAAAACAATATTAACATACAACAGGGCTATTCGACCAAGTTTACACATGGGGCCAACATTTTAAAAAATGAGCACAAGCACCGAAAGATCATCAATACACTAAAAATGGGTACCAGGATGGGCTGTCCTGGGAAAGTAAAGACAGTCGGCGTAATGCTGACCACATTACCCACAGAGTGCTGATGGTCTGTAAAAATATGCTTGATGCGCCGAAAGGCGTGAAAAGGGATCTTTACTTTACTTTACTTATTATACGCCCAGAATATGTTTATGCCTCACCATGTACTGGCGAAAGAATCAGCGAGTGAGTGAACAATAAAGATTGACAACGCATCGTGTCGTTCAAATTCGTCCCTCTTTCACCTGTTGAGTTAACTGTCAGTGCACAAGTGAGAGGTCTGCAAACGACTGGAACCAAACTAAGTGTAAACAGAGTCATTGCACTGTCTATAAGAAATGCATGAGTATAAAAAGACAGCTTTAAAACTTTCCATAGATTACTTTTACACCCTACTGTGTAAAACTGGAAGTGACTGTACTGTATGATGACAGAAGTGACTGTACTGTATGACAGAAGTGACTGTACTTTCGGTGGCGAAGGTGTTGAGCCTGATCTGGTGTGCCAAAAACACATCACTAACCAGTCGCTATTGTGTTACATACTGGTCTTAGTTGGGACATTTCTGTACATTACTGCTCTTATACTGAAGTTTATATTGATAGTTTTATAAAATTAAATACACTATATATGTATTATTCACTTTAAAAGGATTTTACTTTCATTTTTGTCCTAAGCCCACAGTGAAATCACATTACTGCTGGACATGTGTATTAAGAGATTTATGTTATCCATCTGTTCAGTTATCTGTCACACCCTGGTAAGGATGGTGATAGTTAAAACAGGTCTTACAGTACTAGACAACTGGAGACTTTTAGCAATAAACACTGAAGTACAATGGTCAGAAGTACATTTCTTGGACCAGTCAGCAATAAGGGCTACAGGAGTGACCAGAAGAGATAACATCTAGAATGAGGTCATAACAGAAAAAGTCTGCACAGAACCAATTTAAAGATACATTAAAAAACCGAAAATCAAATGGTTTGTCCATTCAGGCAAAATGCCTTGCGACACCATACCATACAAGACATACACTAAAAGAGGTGAAAGACATTAAGCAGTTTGTATCCAAGAACAAGATGGAAAGATAACATTGAAAAGACTCTACAACAGCATAATGTGTCTACAGTGGATGCGGCCAGAAAAAACAAGAAGCAGAACTGTAAATCTCCCTCAACAACTGTAGTGGTAAAAGAGGAAGAGAAGAAGACAAAGAAGAATCAGCAAAAAATACTACTGTACAACTATCCGTGGTAAGTTACTTGGTCTGTCAGCAGTAAACTCTAGTGTAACTATCAGGTATAGATTGTTTGGGTAGGTCAGCAGTAAACACTCTAGTACAACTATCAGCAGTAAATTTTGTGGGTGTATCAGCAACAAATATAGTAGTGCCAAAAAAAAAAAAAAAAAACCACACTATAAACTGTACAACTATAAACTTCAGAAAGCTTAAAAAAAATGCTGCCAATACAATACATATGTAAACATGTGCAGTAACTATCAGTCACTATGGCTTATTATATAAACAAAATAATATAAAATAATCATGAATTTTCATCAGAAAAACTGGTAGAATTACAATAACGTTGTTCATAAAATCAAACAAAGTTTGCAAAGAAAAAAGAAAGAAACAAAAACAATAAATAGATACCATTTAACTTCAATTTAGGTACATGAAGGGTGTGGGGATATGAGGGTGTGAGGACAGGAGATGTGGGGTAGCGTAGCATTAGGCTCATATTTTAGGTAACCAAACAGGAGAGTTAGTCGCCCAACATACTATACAGTAAGTAAGTTTTATCCCACCAGGACATCACACAGAGCGACAAACACCCTGTGACATAAGGTGCCACCATTCGGATCAGGATCACCCGTCGAAAGGTCATGGAAACCCTGTTCAACGGTTAGGTTATATTACGGCACCCAGCAACAGCCAGGGTGGGGCTTTAAAATAATGACAAATGGCATCACACATGGGGATGAGGTGGTAGATCAACATAATATATGTGAATGCTTATCGCTTTGCTAATCCACAGCAGTATCCACATAGAGTTTTTAGCATCTGAGAACACACTGAGATATCTATATGTCATAACATGCTGTATCAGGAATTAGTTCTTGAAAACTAAGTTTGCAATGGCCATCATGACACTTGGCAATAACAGAGAATCAAACAAGAGGCAATGAGTTCAAATTCTGAGGAACAAGTAGCGTTTGACTATATGTTGTCCTGCCTTCTCCTGAGTGTTTAGTGCCAGCCAGATTCTCTGGTCACTGCCTGCTACACCATTCGCTTCAGCCTGTGATGATCTATTTATACGGGTGATGATCTATTTATGCCCAACTCGCTAGCGTAGTTGGTTAAACCCGACTTCGCTGTGACTGGGTGACGAACTCCTTGTTGTCCGGGTTCTTGCCCGGAGGTAGGCAGAAAAGCCACATTTCTCCCAGATTTACGGTATCTATCATGGAATCAAGGCCGAAGGGTTGTGATATACACAGTACCGAGCCAAAAGGTTAACAACTTATGGTTTCTGGATACTTTAAAAAAAAAAAAGGAAATGATTTATTTATAGTCTCCACTGTTAACTTTCACTCAAAGGTGTTTGATAAAAGCATGCTTGTCACGCATCAATTTACTATCTAGTGGTGCAGAGCCAGCTAATCTTTGTACCTGTTTGCTTATCAGATGTGGTAAGACCACAATCACCGCAGCACAACAAGGAAGCAAACAACCCTAATATCAGGTGTGACTACACACCACAAATAAAAGGAAATCATATAAGACAGCTAAGGACCCTTCTTCGATATAGCAGGCCTCCGGGCGGCTGAAAGAGGATCAAATTTGGAATTTTTCTTGGACAACTGGCATTGGCATCAGATGTGGTACATAATAATACATTTAAAAAAATGCTGAAAACTGTATAAATGCAAACAATCAAGAATAATATTAATTATCCTTGATGAAATAAGATCTCAGCATTGTCAGGTAACAAGTCATTTGCAGATTGTCACTTATAATACAGACTAATTATACTTTGACAGTTTCCCTCTCAGCATTCATTTTCATTCCAAGGATGTCTTTAGTATCCAATCTCTCCTGTCATTCTTGTTGGCTCTTGTCTCAACTTTCAGAAACCACATTTTTTCAAGTTTTTCTTTTTTAAGCTATTAAGCATGATGCAGCCAAAGTATTTGTGTCAGAGACAAAGTACTATTTACGAACAAGAAAAGATATACAGACTAAACTAAAAGTATATCAGCAAGCTTCACAATAAAACAAGCACAAACAAAAAGCGTGAATGATGCGGCTATGGAGCACATACACAAATCAAATAATACCACAAAAATACACAAAATCACTTAGCTTAGTATCTTGAAAAGCCAGATTGATGTTTTGCCAATAGACTGATGAGTCACATGGGACAGAATAAAAACCCCCAGGGAATACCAGGGGCTATAACTGGAGGGTTATAGATAAAACTGTGTGGGTAGTTCAATCCCCTAGGATTTTAGATGAAACTGTGTTGGCACGTGGGTCCTCTAGGCGTTAACATGCCCAAAGTGCACGAACAAGCATTTACAAACAAGCAATCTTTGATGTTTAGATGCAGGATTCCATTTGTGAGTCAGCTTTGTTGATATTTAGACACAAGGTTCTACTTACTTTCTTCTTCCTGTTCACTAGCTGTAACTCTGGTGGAAAGTTCTAGTTACTTATTAACCTCTGGACTTTAGTCTTGTTCCAGAACCTGAGTGCTGTCTGCACATCCGTTTCACAAATCTGACTTATGTGTATGCAGGTTCATGTCTCCTTGTCTCTCATGCAGAGGGGAGGAAAGGCAGAGGGAGACTGAGAGAAAAGATGAGGGACAGTGTGACATCATGGCATGGAGGATCATCTGTGTCAGAGCTGAGTGAAAGTACATGAGACAGAAGGCTGTGGATAGACATGGCTACCAACGCCACACGACAAGGACTAAAAAAAAAAGAAGTATATTTGAGAAATGAACCATGAATCACATGTGTACAAGAAAGATGCATGCTTAGAAACCATTATAAATTTACTATATTACAAACACACATCTACTCTAAGGTTCATATACATTCATGCACTAACAATATCTCAATAATATCTCACACTAGTTAAAACAAAACCCATCCAGGAATCACTTAATTTTTGCATCTGATAACTCCAAGCTGAGGTATTAACTGTGTTTACCAAATTCATAAATCAAGCAATGTTACAGAGATATCTGAATGCTGCATATGATAACCATAACAAATAATTGCACAGTGATATCGGGTAGGAAGATATCACAACTGGTGATTCAACAAATGTGGCAATGGCACTGACATTATTGCCAGACCTGCAAGAAAGAGAATAACAGCCCAGTAAACATCAGTAAAAGCTTTTTAATGAGAAAATTAAAAATAATACAGAATCTTTCTGAAAAATATATTGGACAGCGAAAATGAGCTGTTTAAATGTTTTCAACGAGATTAAGATGCAAAGAACACTTATCACATCCCAAAATAGGCAGTTGTCCTTTTCAACCTCCTTCACATGTCTTTCAGTTATCCTTTTCAACCTCCTTCACATATCTTTCAGTTTTCCTTTTCAGCCTCCTTCACATGTCTTTCAGTTATCCTTTTCAACCTCCTTCACATGTCTTTCAGTTATCCTTTTCAACCTCCTTCACATGTCTTTCAGTTATCCTTTTCAACCTCCTTCACATGTCTTTCACCTCCCAATGAAGCAACTTACGCTGAGTCATTTGTAAACTTGGTAATGACTGACTGGATTTGACATTTACAGCTCTATATAGGATCACCACACATGCTGTAATGTCAGTTACACAACATCATAAAATAAAAATTGGGGGCTGAGTGGTCTCAAAGCATTGCTTCCGCCTCGAGTGCTGGAGGTCCTCTGCTACTGCTGCTGCTTCCTTTTCATTTCCTCTCATAAACACTGATAATTACACCAAGCTCTGTGCAGAGTTGTTCAAGAGTGAAGGGATTCCGATTCCTTTTCAGAAAAAAAATTTAAAAAGTTCGACCACTTTCAGACTGCTGCTGGCTAGCTTAGGCTGCTAACAGTCTCTGTCTATATTTGTTGTCTGGTTTTTTTGCGTCACTTCCGTGACTAAAGTTTCAGTATTTGCACCGTCTCTGGGCTTGATGCTTCCTTTCTTTGAGTCAGACCGCTCGTTCTCTACCCTGCTGTTAGCTGTGTACTTCTTATCTTTTCCTTCCAGGTGTTTCCTCCTTGGTTTCAGCTCCCTCTGATTTGGCCAGGTACATTTCATAATGAAGGGATTTTTCTTCTCCTTTATCACCCAGGCTCTGGAATGAAACATATAACACAAATTCTGAGAATATCATACAATGATGACCGTACCTTGACAGTGCTGTCCACTGCACCAGAAAATATGCGACCCCTGGACATAGCCAAGCAAGCCACACTCCCCTGATGTCTGACCAGTGTTTGTGAACATATCATATTGTCCATACTCCATACCTAAAACACAGAAAAAAAAACAGCCTTCATGTAGTAAGTCATTCAGACAGAAAAACAATATGAACTTCTTCAGCTGCAGAAAGTTTTCAGAAGTTTAAAAAAAAAAAAAAGTAAAGATGCCTTTTTCATGCTGCTAGGCGCATCGGACACATGGGAAGAGCACCCATATTTTTTACAGACCAGTCGGCACTAGGTGGGTAATGTAGTCAGCATTACGTTGAACGCCTTTACTTCCCCAGGACATACATCCTGATACCCATTTGAGGCTGGCTCGACCAGCGACGTCCCATACCATGATACAAATCCACGCAGCCAGAAGTGGGTTTCGATCGCTGTACTTTGGAATTACGAGCCAGACTATGCAACAACTAAGCCACAGATGCCGCAAAGTTTTCAGAATACTACTTACTAACAGATTAACCCCCACCTCATGCAGGTTCTGGGAACCTATTCTAGAAGTGGGGTTGGGGGGGGGGGGATAAATATGCTGCCTCCCTAACAAGATTGTTGTACAAGGTGACTAATCAGGGGAGTTTCCTTCAAAGTCAGAGTGCACCTGTCTGAGCATGAGGAACCAATTGTCTGCATACAAATAAAACAGTTCTGTAAAACAGATTACACACAGAACTTAAGTCCTGGACCAAGACCAAAGTCTAGAAATGGGAGAACAACCAGAACTGTTCGCCGGAGTTTGCAGCTAGTGAAAAAAAAAAAAACTCAAAAGAGTTAGTTAGGTACCACACAGCAAGTGCAACTTGCAACTTCAATTAGTTAACCAATGGGATGGTATGGAGCTAATACTCATCACCATCATCATCATGTAGCAGTTCCTCATCACGGTCTGCCTGAAAGAAACTCAGCCTCTCGCCAGCTCTTCAGCCTCACGTACTTTCATATTCAAGGAGTCACTTATATCCTGTGCCCATCTTTGTGTTGGTTGGTCCCTGCCCCTCCTTCCTGGCACCATGTCTTCAGCTGTTACTTTTGTTTTCCAAACCGTCATGGCGCTTGATATGACCAAAATATTTCAGCTTCTAAGAAAGATGCAGTTTATTAGCCAATCTTTTTTGAGCTAATACTGGAACAGCGAACACCACTTAAAAGTACGTGAATAAGTATTTTTTATGGCTTATTTTTGTAATTGTTAATTAAAAAGAATTGGTTAAAAGTATAAAGTTTTCCCCACTTGATTTTGTATGTCTTTTAGGTGCTGTCACCTCTTATCTGTGTACATTTCTCACCCCTTACAGACACATACATTTCAATTAGGGACTAAGACCTTGAACCCGAGACCTCCAGCACTAGAGGCGGACACCATGCCTCGAGACCACGCAGCCCCATATACATTAACCTGGCATCGCACTATGAAATTTCACCTCCCTGCGTCTAGCAACCATTCCCAAAATCTCGTCCACTATAAAACAAACAAATCAAACGAAATTATGGGAACATGTGATTATAAACAAAAGAAGGGCGCGTGAGAAAGCCAAAACACTCCGACTGACATTTCCAACGTGCGCCTACAATGCCGGCACGCACTCCAAGTTGACAGAAGAGTCCTGAGAGAAAATAAACAAGATAAATCTAATATGAGGCTCAGCCGGGGGTGGAAGCAAGAAAATTCCATTAAATGAGGCTCCCGAATCACGCGCAGTAAAAGTTGAATGAAAACACAAACAAAGGTTATCTCCCTCCTGGTGAGTCCATTTGAATGCATTAATAAAGGGAAGCAATTTACAGGGCTGTCCTGTAGCCCGTCTAGAACAGACGTGGGCAATCTCCAATAATCTCTGCAAGACATAACCCTTTTTCAAATGTTGTATAGGGCAGGATGCTAGAATCGCACTTTTATAGACCAATCAGCAGGCGATGGGTGATATGCGGCCGCCATTACGTCCCAGGACCTTTACCTCGTACCCGTTTTACACTAAGTCTGCCTGGGAACCAACGTGATTTGCCACCTGAAGATTTGAAAACTCCCGCGACTTCAAGTCTTGTATCTTCACGGCAGGCCAACCGGACAAATCCGAGATAACCAGTTCAACCTCAAAAATTTTTACAATGGTTTCATCAAAATCAGTTCTGGTTTGCGTAGCAGTGCTAAGTGGGTAGAGGGCGAGGGTATCGTGGCTTCTGTCAGTAACTAAAAGTCCTTAAAAGAAAACTAAACACTAAAGGAAAAAAAAATCTAATTTTAAAGATCACCAACAAAATAAAACCGTTCTATGGAGTTTTAGCTCAGTTGACTAATAGAGGTGGTTTCATTAAACAAGAACATATTTTAACACCAAGCACTTCGCGAATGGCTGGCCTAACTATCATGTTTGTAACGATGATACAGGTGTTCGAGGCAATGAGCGTGCAGATAATATTGCAGACACTGCGGCTGCAGTGGACAGAAGCGACAGAAGAATGTCACGCGCAGCACTTACCACGAAGACGAATACAGCAAAGGGCATGAAAAACGAAATGGAGGCAACCTGGAGCTGCAAGAAATAAACATTACACCAAGGGGACAAGATGTCTGATTAATCACCACAGCAAAGGTATCATCAGTTGTATGACGTTTGGGGGGTCTCTGAGGAGGAGATCGGAGCACCCGTGGACCTGTTTTATATTCCATACGAACGAAGTCGTCTTTCGTTCATATATGATGTGTACACAATTAGTATGATGAAAATCTTCACAAACACTGGGATAACTGTCCGAACAACATCTGTAAATATGTCTTTTATACGTTTGTAATTAGCGACGGGGCAGGTTTCATTTGACTGCGCCACGTTCATTCACAAGATTCACAACATCAGTCTTTAAAATAAAGTTAAAGAACACACACATACACATCCACACACACACACTGAGACACACCCACCCACCCATACACAGAGACACACACACCCACCTACACACAAACACACACACACACACACACACAGAGAGAGAGAGAGAGAGGGAGGAAGGGAGAAACAATGGTAATTAATATAAACATTATGGCGAGACAAGAAGTCAGATGGAAGGGATTGCATTTTGTTTACCAGACGCATACATTTTTGTCTTCAAAATTTGGGATGAGAATATCAGCATTTTGGATCAACCGACAGCACTCACAATAAAGATTCCCTAATGGACTGGCGAAGGTTTAAGTACACATAAAGCCTTTTCACATAAGAAACTCCGGATGTAAGTCCCGACAGCAAAAACCAGAAGAGCCAGTAATAAAACCGTCTGGTTTAGGTAAGACTTTACGACAACTTAAACAGTTATCGGGGAGATGAGAAGGCAATGTGGATCTATTCGAACAGGAGAAATTAAATATAAAGAATACAGTGCAAAGGGCACGACTTCTTTTCCCTGGTTACACTGGTTATAGAACAGAGCAGTGCATCCCAAACTTTTCTTAGTCGCGGCGCCTTTTTTCAATTACAATTTTTCCACGGCACCCTAACCTAAGTGCAACTATTCGTTTGTAAGAGAGAGAAAAAAACTCGTGTATCTTCGAATATTTCGCGGCGCCCCTGTGAAGAGGTCGCGGCTTCCCGGGGCGCCGCGGCACATAGTTTGGGAATCACTGCCATACACTGGTTATAGAATAGAGAGATCTGGGTATGGAAAGTCCAAGCCGAACTAGGAATTACAGAGAATTTGATATAATACAGTTCTGTGAATGCTGCAATACTGTCAAATCGATGTTAGGGGGATAATGTGATAGTGTCAGGGTTCTGATATAGTGAATTAAATTCCGTGAAAGCATCTTTAGTGTGAAGTGTTGGGAGAGAACGTGAGGGGGTGTTTTCTTTCGTGAAAATGCAGAGAAAACGTTATGACTCTGGCATACATACAAGGTTCGACAATTAAGTAATGAGACTGATTTTATTATGGCTAAGACAAAAATGCCTTCTATGAATCACAGCATGGAATCCAAAAAGGCAACATTCGTCTATGATTTGGCAACTTTTCACCGCCCCCCGATAAGCAGATAACAAACAAGCCGCCATTTTGTTAACATAGTCAGAGGTGTATTGTTACGTTATCAGCATGGAGCAAAAAAAAAGCTAATATTAAATAATGTTTAAAACTCAGAAAAAGCGCCATTGCGACAATTGAACTGAAGTGACAAGTGATAATTGTTTATCTCGTGCACAGATTGTCAGCTGGTATTCACGATTCAAAAGAAGTGTGGAAATGATTACTAATGCAACTAGACCTGGACGCCCAATTTCTGTTTGTAATGAGGAACTAATTGCAAAATTCCGAGAACGGATACAAGAAGATCGTTGCTTGTGACTGCAAGGATGAATCTGGTGTTAATACAAAGACTATTCGTTAAATTTTAGTGGAAGATTTGGGCAAGAATAAAGTTACTTGCCGGGTGTATTCAACACTTAGCATTTTTTTTTCTTTTTCATGAAAATGCACTGGCTCAAAGGGCGGTAGTTGTACAGGAATTTTCGGCCCTAAAACAGGTGCGTGTTCTCAACCATTCACCCTATTCCCCCAGATTTGTCTCCGTGTGACTATTTTCTACATCCGAAATTTAAGTTGCTATTGAAAGGAAGCTTCTTTAACGAAACTGATGACACCCAAAAGGCCGTAACATCGACTTTAAGGGCTATAACAACCGAAGAATTACAGAGGTCGTTCTAGTGCTTGTTAGATCGTGCCACCTGCTGTATACGTGCACAAGGAGCTTACTATGACTAAAATAGTTTATATCTTCAACTGTTGATTTTTAAAATTTTTATCGAATTAGTCTCATTACTCAATTGACGGACTTTGTATATTTAGTTCTTCAAAACCCAAGAAAAAACATTCTTTCAATGCGGTCGAAAAATTCCAATTCTGTTTTCTTATTTCTAGCAGTACCTCTCTTTCCGTTGGCAGTCTTTACAGAGCATGTTTTTGACCGTCTTTGTTGACTGCTTGCCTTAAAGGCGACTAAGTGAGAATTTGCGGATATCGGATTTTTTACGCAGATATCACAGCCTAGTTGTAAAACACAA